CTGGAGGCACATCACCTCTCTGTCTCACCTCGCTTTCATTTTTCAGTTTGGATGTTGATGTGTGTGCGCGTTTGTGTATCTTAAAGATACAAACACGCACACATCATCTAAAAAATTGTCTTTCTGCACAGAAGGAGAACAAGGTCTGCATCAGTCCTCTTTCTCAACTCCTCCAGGATGGGGTTCTCTGGGTTGATCTCCATAGTCTTCTTGCTCGACATGTACCCAGCCGCTCTGTTATCCCTCAAGGCCTGAGCCTTCATGATTCTTTCCATGTTGGCAGTCCAGCCATAGTCGCCTGTCACCAAACAGCAGGGAGAGTCTACCACACAGTTAGACACCACAACCTTCTCCACTCTGTCACCCAAAACATCCTTCACAACCTTGCAGAGTCCCTCAAACTTCTCCTTCAACTCTTCCTTCTTCTTTGCCTCGTCTTCACTCTCATCAAGCTTGAGACCTTCCTTGGCGGCTGAGACAAGCTTCTTGCCCTCAAACTCCTTGTGAGAGTAATTGGCACATCATCCACTTCTAAAACATTGCCTTTGTTCATTCTGGTTCGATTATGATGAGGAACAGAGTTCATTCTGGTAATGATAGACGAATAATGGTAAAAAATTTGTACGTCGTTAATTTAACAAACCGTCATGGTTAGTACAATTATGCGACAATAGCGTTATGGATACCGTCGTAGTATAGTATAATTAAAAGGTCGATAAATTTATATTTACAGTTGTGGTAACTTAATTTAAATCGGCGAATTTTTTTGTAATTAACCGTCGTAGATTCCTTTGAATTTATGCGTCGCTGACTAAGAAAATTGGGTCGTGTTTATTAATTAGTTAACACAGCGTCTTATTTTTATATCGTCGTCTTTACTTTCTACGGCTGTGATTTCATAGATGCAGTCGTTGTTTTTAGGTTCAGATTTTAACTCTGAAAATACCTTTGTAATAAGACGACGCTTTTTTAATTTGGTGTGTCGTTGTTTAAAAATATCTATACGTGTACCGGTTTTTTAGGTGTTTAAAGTATGTTTCTACGACGGGTTTCTATTACCGTCGTCTTTTAATAAACAACGACGGTTTTTTGATCTACCGTCGTTGTTTACTGGTCGTCTTTTGCCCTTTTTGTAGTAGTGTGAAGCATAAGAAATATCTATCATGTAATAATGCTTAATGGTAAAATCATCTTGTTGATGGCGAGCTCGACCTCGTCTTGCAACATAACGAGCATTCATATGTAGGATATCTATGTTCCATGCTTCACAAAAAGAATTCACCTTAGTAAGCAAAGAATCTCATCCATCATCTCTTAATTCTTGGATGAGTGCTTTAGTGGAAGAAACAAGATTCATGACATTTATGATGTCTTGGGATTGACATTGCAAAGCTTGACAAAGATCATTAGTGATCTCCATAAGTTCTTTCATAAGATGTAAGGATAAAGACAAATTCATATGAAGTCATTGCCTCATAAGCTGCATTAGCATCTCCTCGTTGAGAATAAGTAGTTCCGTTATCAATTATATTAATTAGAACTGTGCATGTTGCACTAAACATATTTACCAAGCTTGTAATTGATTTCAAATGAGAACCCCAACGAGTATCACCAGCACGTTGTAAGGTGTCAATTTGGTTCATTCCTTTCCCAGTCTCAAGCTCATAAATTGCAATCATGTGCTCAATTTCAGCAACTTGAACATTTGTCAGTTCATCATTACGCTTGCATGAAGCACCAATAATATTGGCAATAGAAGTCAATTTTGTGAAAAAGTGGTGAACATATGAATAACTTCTTTTGATGATGCAATTAATGCCAATTGTAATCGATATGCTAAACAATGAACATAGTAAGCATATGAGCAATCATTCAAAGTCAAAGCTTGTAACCCATTCCATTCACCTCACATGTTACTTGCACCATCGTATCCTTGTCCTCTAATATTTTGAATATTTAGTGAATTATGAGACAATATAGAATATATACATTTTTTTTCAGAGTTAATGCCTCTCTGACACATGAACAAGCCCAAAAAAAGGCTCCTGAATAAAACCTTCTTTGTCAACAAATCGCAACACTATAGCCATTTGCTCTCTCTTGAATTCATCACGCGCTTCATCAACAATTATACAGAACTTTGATTCCCCAATTTCTTCACAGATTGCTTTCTTCACTTTAGTAAGTTTACTGAAATCCCCACTGTAGAAACACACAAAACTGAAACAAGCTGAGGCTGCGGAGTTGGGGATGAGAAAGGTTGAGATTGAGAAACAAACAAAACCCATATAGTAAAAGCTCTTAAATTCATACCTTTTATGGTTTGTAATTGAAAACCCCTCTCTAAAACCCACAAGCCTGAAACAAGCTGAGCTCTGTGGGTCTGGGGGATGAGAAAGCTTGAGACTTAAGAGTGAACTTTTAACCACTCTGAGTCTTCTGACCGATGACAATGTGTTGCTCAACATTCTTAGACATTCTTTTGGCAAAATAAATGTTATATTGGCTCAATTGGGCACAACTCAAATTGGATCCAATTGCAGAAGAAACCAAAAGAAATCTTTTTCTGCATGGAGATCCAATTCTTATACATTCTTTTGGCAAAATAAACTTTGCAGTCAGCTACACTCAAACATTTCCCATTTTCATTTTGTTTTATGATCCCAATTGAGTCATCAATAATGTTGGCCACTTGGCTTGTGCAGAGGTGGTTAACACAAAAGGCGAAGCTTGTAGGACATGGAAACGCTTTGCAGTCATCGTTAGTAGAACATCTTTTAACAGGTATGGCTTCTGCTCCTCTTGGCAACATGAGTTAATATTTGAACCAACTCTAAACCACACAAAACCCAGATGGTAAAAGCCTTATGACATGTTTATTAATCCGTAATCGGGTGAACAGTAATTCGTAATCAGAATCCAACTCCTTATTTTGATTATGATTATGGATTAGTAAGTTTACTGAAATCCCCACTCTAGATGTATAAAAACAAATGAATAATGTAACTGCTACAACATTCATAGAGGAATGGAAATTAATTATTCATAGTAAGAAAAACTCACAAGATGCAACAACCAAGAAGAAGAGGAGCGAGTTCAGAGCAATCTTAGATGGGGCTTTCTCCATGGTTCGTTCTTTTTTTATTATTCTCACCTTGGGTCGATGTGACTGAAATTGTTATAAAAAATATAGTTTTCCTTTTTCGTAAAGCCAAATACAAAAACATTTATATTATAAATAACATATGAACAAATTGGAAAGCTTTTAAGGTACAATGAAACTGAAGAAAAACAAATTGATAGGTAAGTAAAAGCAAAATAAATTATAAGTAAGAACACGCTTGGTACGGTAAAGCCTTTGTAGCCTCCTTACGTGCATGTACTGACGGTTTGCAAGACTCTAAGATACGACCCCTTGTACACAAACTCAAGATCCTCTATGAGTACGTTTATAGCCGAATATAGGTATCCAAGTCACAAAACCATTGCCCAAAATAATAATATGAGTAGAGAAAGTATAAAAAGTAGAAGATGAGAGAATCAAATTGTGGTGGTGATTGTGGTATGTGATATTCTGATGGTGTATTGTGGTTGTTCAAATGTGAAGGAGGAGTGGCATTTTATAGGCATATAATAACATGTAACATTCACCACATTAAACTAGAAAATTAAAGCATTCAATATAGAAATAAAACCTAAAAATTTAATATGTATAACCCCACACAATAAATAAAATAAAACAGCCAAAATAATTAAATAAATCAAAACGGTCAGAACACTAAAGGCAAGACATTAAAATGAAGAGTGTTGCTATTTCCACCCCTCAGTCCTATTTCCCCACCCACCTTATCTTCCCACCCACCATGTAAATTTGAAAAAACATAATTCTATTTTTACACCCACCATTATTCCTAAAATACCTTTTAATTATTAAATCAAGCAAATTCTCCTTACTTTCATTCAAAGCACGCTTCAAACCTTCAACCCCTGTCAATCAAAACGCTTCGGATCCTCTGTAAAGTATTATTAAAAATTTTAAAAAATAAAGAAAATCGCTCTCAATGTTCATCATCTCTCCACCGAACAAAAACAATAACGGAGAGAAATTTCAGAATAAGAAAGAAGACGAAGAGCAAACTGAGCACATGGAACAGAAAGCTTGTGCCCTTGGGTTCAGAAACTGAGGAGAAATATGATGGAATTGGATTGGACCCAGCTGGAAATTTTGAAGCTTTATTGGAATTTTGATTTGGGTTTGGTCAGGATGAGGGAGAGAGGGAGAGGTTGGGGTTTGACAAGGATGAAGGAGAATATGTGTGTTTTTTTTTTTCATCTAAAGTCCTTAAAAGTCATTTTACAAATGGATAAATTTGTTTTTAAATTTTGAAGATAAGGTGGATGAGGAAATAAGACAGGTGGGTGGAAATAGCAGCACTCAAAATGAATCCAAGACATTAAAATAAAAATGTAATTAAATTGAATAAATGTTCAGAGCATTAAAGGCAATAATTACCTAACAATATCAACAACTTTACTGTTAAAAATAAAAGCTTTAAATGTCATGAAATTGACATTAAAGTTTTGAAACTAAAGCTGCTTGTAGCTGCATTTATACTACCAAAACAACAAATGGATAAATTTGTTTTTAAATTTTGAAGATAAGGTGGGTGGGGAAATAGGACAGGTGGGTGGAAATAGCAGCACTCAAAATGAATCCAAGACATTAAAACAAAAATGTAATTAAATTAAATAAATGTTCAGAACATTAAAGGCAATAATCACCTAACAATATCAACAACTTTATTGTCAAAAATAAAAGCTTTAAATGTCATGAAATTGACATTAAAGTTTTGAAACTAAAGCTGCATGTAGCTGCATTTATACTACCAAAACAAAAAATTGTCCCTTTTTCTCCCAAATTCAAAGCAATGACAGCTAGCAAAATAAAGAATAATTAAGCTCAATAAAACTTGCAATAATATCACATAAACTCTCTGCCCATTTTCGGAAAATTAATAGCTATAAATGAAAATAAAGAATTAATATAACAATTGAATACACGAATAGGCCAAAACTAAAATTGACGTAATATTAGAATTTGAATTCAAAATTAAATTACAAAAGAACTGTTTGCACCTTTTTTTTTTCCTTTCAAGAATTTAAAATCAAAGTAAATATTATACTACATAGATTTGTGTGAATGTAAAAAGTCCCCCATTGGAAAGTTTTTTTTTTTTTTTTTTTTGAGGACCTTTCCTATTGAGAGGGGCGATAGCATACTAAACTCACACACACTACACGGATGCTAAGACTCGAACCCAGGACCTTGCCCGAGAGAGTAAATACTCCAAACCACTACACTAGTGGGTCCTTTGCCCCACATTGGAAAGTTGAGAAACCTAGCAAGGACTTATAAAGGAGTTGGGCTACTCCCCTCATTGCCAATTGGTTTTGGGGTGGAACCTCAACTTCCTTCATAAGTATCAGAGCGGGTTAGCCCATGTGTGAAAGCCCAATAGCC